GCTAGTAAAGCTTAAGCGGAGTGCAGTCAGTCGAGTAATACCACTCAGTCTCAAAAAGTCAAAAATGCTAGCAAAGTGAAATTCGTTCGTTGCTTCCAAAAACGAACAGAATAACCTTTGTCAATTTTGCAAGTTAGCAGACCATTCGATTGGCATTTGCCAGGCGTATATTGCCTTGTCAGTGCAACAAAGGTTTGATTTCGCCAAAGGTGCGCCTTTGAGCATAAACTGCCTTCGATGAGGCCATACTGTAGCGAGGTGTAAGGCGAAGAAAAGTAGAATGTCTCAACGTTCTCATCACATACTGCTACATATTTATACTGCTAGCTCAAATGTTCCGTTACCACCACCCTCTCATTGTGCCAATAAAAGAATTCATATCGTGGTGTAGTCGTGTGTCAATTGTAGCGAGCTTTCCGCAGATCTTTGGATCTTGGGATCGATTTCATCCCAAAAATATTATTATCGATAGGCCAAATAAAGCAAGGCCCTGAGTCTCCCACATTACAAAAAACGCTTCTCGGCTGGTTAGTGTCAGGCAGATGCTTTACTCAACCAACGAGTACAGAAGAAGCAGTGAATTTAAGTTGTCAAGAAGTGCAATTACTTTCGATCGACTCAACATTACTGCAGTTTTGGTCCATTGAGGACTTGCCCAGTAGTTCGAAAGTTCTCTCACCTGAGCAACTTTGTCGAAAACACAAAAATCTTAACGCCTGGTCGATTTCAGGTACCTTTTACCTTTTAAATCTGACCCAAAATGTCTTGGTTTGTCGTACCAAATTACGAAACGTCGTTTTTCGTCGTTTGAAAGGAGGTTGTCGAAAGACCCTCAACTGATAACTGGTGCTGAAAGCGTTGAACAGTTACAGAAGCTCGAGCAGAATTGGCAAAGTGGTTTTCCAACTGTCCGCATGTGATAGCATAGTTATTCCATTAGCCACAATCGACTCACATCCAACCGAAACGCTCGGCGTTATCTGGTTTGCAAAGGCAGATAATTTTCAGTTTAATTTGGAAAATTCCTTCCTAGGTCTCCGCTCGACAAAACAAAACACATTTATGTTCGTGTTTCGACTGCGGATGGTTGGAAAGTGTCACTTTTGACCTCAAAATCCGAAGTAACTCGACTCAAGACAAAAACTTTGCCTCGTCTTGAGCAGTGTGCAGCTCAGCTTCTCGCAGATTTTGTTCGTCAAGTCCGCCCGTGTCTTAATTTTTCTATCGACAAGATAGTTTTGTGAACTGCCTCGGAAGTAACTCTCAACTGGATCAAGTCAATCCGGCGGCATGGTCAGTATTCGTTTCGAACAGGGTTTCTCAAATCCAAGAGTGGTTCGAGAATGCAACGAATTCTCTGCCCTAGAAGTTCTCAAGTCTCCTGTAGTTTTAATGCAGATCAGCAAGCTCGATACATTAAAAATTGCTTAGGGTTTTCGTTTGGGATTTTCGATTTATACAAACGTGCATAAAAGTCTCGAAGCCCTTTGACCCTATAGCCAAGCGAACTCAATTTTGTATTCAACAAAATTGTTCAAGTCATCCAGGACAATGAGTTCGGTGAGGAAATCGACAACGTTCGAAAAAAGAGAGTTAAGTGTTCTCTAATTTACAGCGTATGAGTCAATTGTTGCATGAATTTGAAGAAGACGGTTTCTTGTTTTCATTGCTGAGAGTGGGGGGAAGAATCTTAAATGCTCCTATCCCGTACGAAGCCAAGTTTTCGTTGTTGCTTTCAAAAAAGTCTAAATTTATAAGATACGTATCTATTTTGCATGTGTCAAATTGCCATGCTGGCCCTAGATCGCTGGTGAGCCTGCTTCGTGAGCCAGTTTGGCTGGTTAACCCTCAGGAAATGTGTCGCCGAACAGTACGTTCGTGGATCATCTGCTTCAAATGGAATCCTCAGTTGGCCTCCCAAGTAAGGGGAAATCTTCCGGCAGACATGCTCCACCCATTCGAAGTATGGTGTTGATTTTTGTGGCCCTATAAGCACAACGCTCTGCATCCGTGGCAAGACACCGTACAAGTCATACGTGGCTCCTTTTGTTTGATTTGTCTCAAAAGCGGATCACTTAGAATTTGTGCTAGATCTAACTGATGCGTTTCGTTTGGTTTAGGCTTAGTTTAGTATGTAAGCCGAAATTGAGAGTTTAGTTGTTATCCAGAGTTACGTACAAACACACTTGCCGCATATCGTTTTCATCTTCGCATTAAATTCATAAAAAGCATGCGTCCCGTCTTTTCTTTGTTTAATAGTTTATATAAAATAATATAAATTTTCAATATGCAAAACATTTTTGATGAGATTGTTCAGAAAAACTATAAGGTTTATATTCCAATGATTTTTTTTATGAGAACAAATGTCTTTTTTAGCGGGTTAAATCAAATCTCCTGGGATACCAAACAAGATTTGAAGCCCCCAGAAAGAGAATTGGTTTTGAGGCGAAACTTGGGCGGAAGAGTTTTCTGTGGTGCCTCTGTATAAGACCTAGAGACACAAAATTTTATACACAGATGCCTTATGTGTGTACGCAGAAAAAGTATTTCAGAATTATCCTTCTTCCTCCCACTCCCCCTCTATTAGTGATTTTCCATTACTCCCTTAGTTCTTGGAATTTTTAATGATATTTAGCAATATTATTGATTATGTGACCAATTCTAAATTATTTTGCAGCCATTTTTGCCCTAGCTCTACCCACAGCTGTGGCTGTTGCTGCTGTGTTGGGTCAACTCTGTACTCCACACATGCTCACACACAGACACGCTGTAACGACGACCTAGCGCCCTGTAACGACGCCTTAGAGGCGTACAGTAAGAGAAAAGAGATGGAGAGTTAGTTCTAGTTCTGCCTCGAAGGCACACAGTCATTAATGATTTAACCTGTTTTCTTTTGTTATTTTCCCAAACGCCACTGAAGGCGGACCATTTATCTTCCCGTGTCAATAAAAATTAAACATTAAAACATATCTTTATTTCATGTTGGGGCCCAAATATCAAGTTTTGCAGCGAATCTGGCCAGCAAGAATACCTGGGCTAGAGCAACGTTACAACGCATAAACTTACAATGTGCAGTTATACACCTTTTACTTCACGTAAAATAATAATATTGAATAATATTATTGTAATATTACAATTCTGATACTTTTTTTTTTAAGTTACTCATTATAACTATTGCACTATATGCCCTAGCTTTCGCTACGTAGAAAAATAATTTGCTTTTTGGCAGTTGTTTTAGAAACTTTTCTGTGCATATGAGAAACTTATTTCTATCCAGATTTTTATACCCTGTGCGAATGTATGTATGTAACACACAGAAGGAGGCGTGGTACAAAGTATATATATTATTGATCAGGGTTGCAAGCCGAGTCAATATAGCCATGTCCATCTGTCCGTCCGTTTGTATGAGCGCAAGGATAACAGAAGGTACACGAGCTAGAATTAAACTTGATATCCAGGTTCCCCAAAGCTCCAAGCAGGACAAGCTTGTTTTTTTTATGCTCTGTACATGACATGTACAAAGGTATATTAGGTTTGCGGGAGCTGAAAAATGTAACAGGCAGAAGGAGGCGTGGCAGACCCCAGAAAGTATATATATTCTTGGTCAGCGTGACAAGACGAGTCGATCTAGCCCTGTCTGTCCGTCCGTATGAACACCTGGATCTCAGGGACTATAAGAGATAGAGACACCAAATTTTGCACAAAGATGCCTTATGTGTGTATTCTATACGAGTTTGTTTTATTTTTTTGATTTTCCCCCCCACTTCCCCCTATGGGGGTTTTCCCGATTTTTCATTCGTATAATCGCCTTTATCTCGGAGACTATAAGACCTAGGAACACCAAATTTTAGTCCGAGATGCCTTATAAATGCCTTGTAAATGTGCAATTATACACTCTTTACGTAAGTTCGAATACCGAGAGAGGTAAAATCGATCAAAATTTTTATACTCTCTACATGAAATGTACAAGAGTATATTAGGTTTGCGGGAGGTGAAAAATGTAACAGGCAGAAGGAGGCGTGGCAGACCCCACCAAGTATATATATTCTTGATCAGCGTGACAAGACGAGTCGATCTAGCCCTGTCTGTCCGTCCGTATGAACACCTGGATCTCAGAGACCATAAGAGCTAGAGAGACCAAATTTTGCACAAAGATGCCTTATGTGTGTACGCTATACGAGTTTGTTTTTATTTTTTTTGATATTCCCACTCACTTCCCGCCTATGGAGGTTTTCCCGATTTTCCATTCCAATCGCCCATATCTCAGACACTATAGGAACTGAGGACACCAAATTTTAGTCCCAGATGCCTTATGGGAATACGCAGAAAATTTGTATTGTGGAATTTCCCTCCATCCCCCCTCTCCCCCGCAATCCATAACTCCCTTAATTCTAGGAATTTTTCAATGAAATTCGGAAAATACCTAACATTAGTGCTTATGAGTCCGTATGTCGAGTTTCATAATGATCGGTTTAACAGGAAGTTATAGCCATATATGTATATATGACCAAGCAGTGCCCGCAGCTGTTGTTGTTGTTGCTGCTTTGCACAGGCACACAGAAAAACACAAACACATACACGCATAATTATACTACACATATGTACAGAGTATTTCAAAGACGGGATATCCGACTTTAGCTTCTCTATTTGTTCTTATTTAATTTAATTATATATTTTAATTAATTAATTAATAATTTAACTCTTAAATGCCCTGTACCACCCCACAAAAAAAAAAAAACTAAACAAAAATGTATTTAAAAAATTAATTGACACTAAGACGTTAATTCGCCATACGCACGCAACTGCACACACTGACGCTAGACATGGACAAAGGTCGGCCTTTCTTGACCCGACAAAACAGGATAGCGACATTGATTTCAAAAACAAACTTGAGTCCAAATTTCAGCTTTCTAAGTCTTATCGTTTATGCTGTGCGTTGACTGCAAATATGTACTTTTTTTTGTCATACCTTTTAATTATCAAAAACTAGAACAACTTACTTGTATTGTTGCAAGGATTGGTATGGGGCCACTACTGGAATTGCAAACAGCAGTTCATCATCTTCGAGGGGTTGACCAGTAAGAGTATCGATCATTTCAACATCATAGCCAGCAGATATATCATAATTTTCGCCAAGTTCTACATTATTTTTACAGTTCGATGTAGTATTTGTAAGTTCAGCTTGATCTAGTTGCTTATTATTTTCAAGTTCTTTGTTGTCTTTGCTTTCATTCACTTGCGGTTGCGGTTTTTCCTTCCCAGAAGATTTAAGTATCATCATTCTTAGTTCACGCTCTTCATCATCCTGATCCCTGTATTTAGATTTTATTTTTTTCAATTTCCCTTTCTGACCACGTTTAATTTTGGAAGTACTTTTTAAATCGGTTTCGTTTAGGCTCGATAACGTTGTTTGAGTGTTAAGTGTACATTGCGGCTTCTTTTCTTCTTTACATTTTTTTGCGTTTGTCTGCTGTTTTTTTCGCGTTGTCCCAGCAGATATTAATGTTGATTCGTCTGTATTACAATTTTCAGTAATTTTTTCTAAATGTATGTTTTCTGCAAATGAAGATTCTTTGTTAACAAACAAGCGACCAGTATCGTGTTCAATTTTGATTTCAGTATTCGGATAAGCAAATATATTGCTTTCAAAAGTTTTGCCATTATTGTTTTGAATCTGTTTAGCTTCATTACGTAAATCCCTGGTTTTTATTTCTGGTATATTTAGTTCAAACTCATCTTCAACGCTACGTACTTTTCGCTCTCCAATATGGCGGTGTACAGAGCTATCTTCTAGCTTAAAAAGCAAGCTCAAGCCCATTACGAGATGACAGGGTGGCAAAAAATTCTTTTTCCCGCGGATCATAAAGCTTCCAGTTCCTAAGTACTCCCCAGTTGGAGCATTTTTACTGACTTGATTGCTTTGAACCCAATAAGCGTTTGTAACGACTTTTGCATCCCATCCCACGCTGTATGAAATTGCCATAGTTCCAGCTTCTAATAAAGTTTTCGGAGGAACTTTTTCTCCAGATGGATTTCGAATGATTATGCTAGAAGCTCCTTGAATTTCCGCGTGTACATAAATATCATTTGGGCGCATGTACCTAAAAATAACGAAATTAATAAAATTAATAATTCAAATTTCAATTGAGTTTATGTTTGCCACATATTTTATCTTGCAGTAAAAGGTATGAGCAGAAAAACAAAATGAAACAAGAGAGTATACTACAGTCAAGCAAGCCCGACAGTGATATACCCTTTACCCAAAGAAACCTCTGGAACTGAGTTATATGTGCCCATAGCAGAAGCAAATAAAATAAGTAAAAAATCTTAAGTCGGGTTTCCCGACTTTGAAATACTCTGTACATATGTTTAGAATAATTATAAAAATTAAAAAAGTAAGAGAATTAAAAAAAAAAATTTGATCGATTTTACCTTCCTCGGTATTCGAGCTCACATTTACAAAGCAATTGCGTCTAAGTGAGTGTTTGTATGCCTATGCGGGTCTATTCGTGCCTGTTTGACCATGTTCGCAGTCAACCAAAGCACCAATATCAACAACAGCTGCGGGCAGCCCTTGGACAGCAAATATATTTATGGCTTTAACTTCCTGCTAAACCGGTCTATCATAGTGAAACTTGGCATACGGACACATAATCACTAAATTTAGGTATTCGCGTTTGAGTTCGAAATTCGAAGAATTACAGAAGTTATGGATGATCACTAATTGCGGGAGAGGGGGGAGGGAGTGAAATTCCAAAATACACATTTTCTGCGTATTCACAAACGGCATATTGGAATAAAATTTGGTGCTCCTAGGTCTTATAGTCTCCGATATATAGGCGATTATACGAACGGCGTTACGCAAAAACCCCCATAGAGAGGAAGTGGGGGAAATAAAACAATAAAACAAACTTGTATAGTGTTAACACATAAGGCATCTTTGTGCTAAATTTGGTTTCTCTATCTCTTATAGTACCTGATATCCAGGTGTTCATACGGACGGACATACAGACATAGATCGACTCGTTGTTGGGGTCTGCCACGTCTCCTTCTTCCTGTTACATTTTTCACCTCCCGCAAACCTAATATACTCTTGTACATTTCATGTATGTTCATAACATGCATGAGTCATATTTATTTATTTTGTTTTTCACCATAACTAAATATGTATTTTATTATATATACTATATCTATATATATAAAACAGTTTGTCCTGACTGACTGATTGGTGATCAACGTACAGCCCAAACGGTAAAAGCTAGGAAGCTGAAATTTGGGCTCAAGGATCCTATCATAGTGAAGGTACCCACTAAGGGATTTTGGAAAATTCGAGCTCCAAAGGGGGGAAAACGAGCTCCAAAGTTTGTTTGAAAATTCTGCATTTCTGCACCGATGAACTTTAAATTTGATTTTGAATCTATAAAAGAATACAAACAAAACTGCATACTCGGATTTTCGAAATTCGTGGTGGAGTTTGAATTTTAATATTTATTCACCTTTTCAAATGAAAAGTTTGTGTTATAAATTTTTTCCCATCGATTTCAAATTTGGGGACTTTAATCTACGTATTTAAATCTACAACTTTGCGTTCAAGGATTTTCAAAATATGCATTTTACAAATGCAGGCAGAACAAACAATACAAAATATCAAACAGTTGGAGACAACTAGTATACATACACACACACACACACATACAAGCAGCTGTTCGTGTAGTTGCGTGCAAACGATTGAAATAGCCAACGCAAAATGTGAGACACTAATGTGTGAATGTACAGACATACATATGTACACATCTATGTATATGATTAGCACACTCTATGCTTCTTGTTTTTAAAGCTTAATATCAGCTTATCCTATAAAGTTTTTAAAATAAACTTTTTAGCAAATAAAAGTTTATTAAATTATACACTAGAAAATTTAATAGTTATTGTATTAGCTTTATAAATAATATTTTAATGGAATTTTTACAAATTTAATACAAAAAATTCACTTTTATTTTTGCGACATTTGATTAGCACACCTTCATGTAAATATCGAATAACATAAAAAGAGGGAGACTTTAGACCCCCAAATCAAATTTTAATGTGAAATTCTGCATTTTCTTAACATATTTAAGAAGGATTAATAATGGGTTGAGCAGCCACGGTTAACTATGACCTCATACATCCTGTTGGGTAAGGAGTCATATAACTTTTTTATATAATTTAGTGAAATGGTCTCCCACGCACTTTTTATTCCTTGAATTAGTTCCAACTCAGTTGAGTATTGCTTTCCAGACTCGTATACTTTGCGTGCTAACCATCCCCAAACATTTTCTATAATGTTCAGGTCGGGCGAGTATGGCGGCCAGGTCAGTAAAGGCACGTTTTAACGCTCAATCCAAGTCTTTACGACTCTTGCAGTGTGGATAGGTGCGTTATCCTGCTGGAACTTCCATTCCATGGACCCAAATATATCAGTTATTGCAGGAAAAGCGACATACGACTTGTAAGAAATTGCAGTTTTATGGTCCCATAGTACGTAACTGCTCCCCATACCATCACACCACCGGCACGGCTGTGCAGTCGATCTAAAGTATGCTCTTCCTTTCTTAGATCATGAAAGTAGTAAGCATAGCCATCTGGACCCTCCAAATTAATTTTTTTTTTCATCTGAAAAGACAACACGCTCCCATTCCTTGGTCCAGGTCATATTCGATCGGCAGAAATCGAGTCGTTGCGCCTTTCGGATCTGGTTTAGAGGGGGTTTTTTTTTATTTTCAGGAGCTTTAAGTGTTCTGCATTTGAAATAACTCTTTGTACAGTCCGAACACACGCCTTAACAGCTGTTTTTTCTTTAATTTTGGCGGCTGAGTCGTGTGAATTGGACGCGAGCCTCAATATAATTCGCTTGTCAGCTGCTGTTATCACAGAAGAAGGACGACCTTTCATATTTTTCCCATAGGCATACTCATTACTTAAAAATGAGGAAATAACTTTACGGCTGCTCTTCATTATTTTTGAAATTTTTAGAATCGAGTGGCCACACGCTTTATATGTCTTTATTTTTGCCTTTTCGGTATCATTCAACGCTTTAGCTTTCCCCATATTAACTCAATTTAATTGAAAATTGGTTAAATTTATAGAACAATAACTTTAATAAGCCAAATACGACAACGCACTCGCAAAAATTAACACTGAAGCATAAGTGTGCTAATCGGCTGTCGCAGAAAAAACCATGCAGCATAGCAAACTAACGGTACACTTCCAGAGCATAATAGTTCTTTTCCCAAGAGTGTAAATAATGAAGAATGAAAGAAAAAACTATTGAGCATGATACATATTCAGAGTACTGAGTTATTCGCATTTGCACTGAAAGGTTAGAGAGTGTGCTAATCGGTTGTCGCGCAGTGTATGTATGTATGTATGTTCATTCGTCTTGCACTGATAGAGCAAGAAATGTTAATTAATTAAAAATTATTTAACATTTTTAAAAGTATTTTGTTCTTTGTTTAGTACATTTTGCATTAGGGTTTTCATTAGTAACTTTATGCAGCAACAACAAATTACAAAGAACGCAAATATCAAATAGTTGGGGACATCATATACACACACTCACACACAGAACAAGCAACAGTTCGTGTCTATGTGTGCGGTTCTCTACGTACGGTTGAAAAAGTAAAGAGAAACATGCATGCATATGTACATACATATGTATGTTTGTATGCCTGTGTACGTACATATATAGCATGTATGTACATTCGTATGTATGTATGTATACATTGGACAATCGAGCACTGTTGTTTGATTGTAATAATGTTTTATGGTTTTAAATCAAATTTTTAAAACGAAAACAAGTAAAAAAGCTAAAGTCGGGTGTCCCGACTTTGAAATATTCTGTACATATGTTTACAATAATTATAGAAAATAAAAAAAATTAAGAAAATTTTACCTTTCTCGGTATTCGAACTCACGTAAAAGGTGTATAATTGCACATTTACATAGCAATTGCGTCTGTGTGAGTGTATGTATGCCTATGCGCATCTATTCGTGTCTGTGTAAACATGTTAGCAGTCAACCAAACTGCAGCAGCAAATATATTTATGGCTATAACTTCTTGTTAAATCGGTCTATCATAGTGAAACTTGGCATACGGACACATAATAACTAACTGGGGGTATTTTAGTTCGAAATTCCAAGAATTACGGGAGTTACGATTTGCGGGGGAGAGGGGGAGGGAGGGAAATTCCAAAATATACATTTTCTGCGTATTCACATAAGCCATCTTGGACTAAAATTTTGTGTTCCTAGGTCTTATAGTCTCCGAGATATAGGCGATTATATTTATTTATTTATATTTATATTTATTTATTTATTTATTAACCTTATCCTAGCGTTACAAGTATCGGTTACTTTTAAATTATTACGCTAGTCATTACAATTTAATCATAGTTTTAGTTTTCACATTAAATATTTTCATTATTCTTTATAATTATATATTTTTAATTGAATAGTTTAATAGTTTTATACTTAATCTAAATTGCCTACTGAACTAAGTGTGTCGTTAAAATTATAATTTTTGGTAACGTTAATTTAGTTAATGTTTTGTAAGTGTGCTAGAATCTTAACTCTAAAGTGCTTCTCGCTGCTAATTGTTTTTAGGTTATGTGGAAGATCATTCCACAGACGAACAGCAGAAATAAAGAAATGTTTTTCCGAGATTGCTAATTTAAATTTAGTGCAAACTATGTTGTTCGTTCTTCTTGATGTCGTGAAAGCAATTTTGTCGTGCAGATAATTTGGTTCCTTACGTGCAATAATTTTGTGCAAGAAGATTAGGGTTCTAAGCTTAATCCAGGAGTCAAAGGTCAGATTGAATATTTTATTGGTGTATGTCGTTATTGAATCTCTTCTTTGAATGTTGAAAATGTGCCGTGCTATGCTATTAAAGGCTACTTTTAATTTGTTTTGACTTACTGCATCGCAGTATCCAAAAAGTTCAATCCCATAAAATAGCAAGGGTGTCAGGCATGTTTTGGCAATAAGGAGCTTTAGTTTTACAGGAAGAAAATTCTGCGTCAAAGACAGACGCCTTAGTGCGCTATATAATCTACCTACTGCCTTATTGACATGGTCACACCAAGTTAATGTTTGGTTTATATTTATTCCCAGGTTTATTGCCTGCTCTACATACGCAATGGGCTCATTGTTGAGGCGTACTTGCTCAAGATTGAGTGTGTTGATTTTTTTTTTATATATTACTAAACATTTTGACTTTTTAGGGTTGACCTCCAATCCGTTAATATTTGCCCATTTGCTGATTTTGAAAAGATCATCATTGCAGACACGTATACATTCATCTATTCTACATAACGGACGACTAACAGACATCTGGACATCATCAGCATACATGTGTAACTCGGAATTAGACACACAACATGGAAGGTCATTGACATAAATTGAGAACAATAGTGGCCCTAAGACAGACCCCTGAGGGACTCCACGCTTTATGAATAAAAAAGACGAAAAATTATGCGAAGTAACTACTGCTTGGTGACGACAGGACAAATATGACTGGACAAGATTAGTAGCTGAGTCAGAGAAATTATAGTATTTTTAATTTCGTACACAGTATGTTATGATTAACAGAGTCAAAAGCTTTTGAGTAGTCTAGTAGGGTTAGGAAAGTTACCTTGCTGTCGTTCATTTCTTTCCTAATATCGTCGGTAATTTTAATTAATGATGTAATACAACTTCTATTACTTCTGAAGCCCTATTGTTTATCACTCAAGAGAGAGTTTTCTACCATGTAATTGCTAATTTGTTTGGTCATCAAGTGTTCAAGTGCTTTTGATAGAAATGGTAGAATTGTGATTGGCCTGAAGTCATTGCTTGCTTTCGGGATAGGAATAATTTTTCCTGATTTCCACTTGTACGGAAAGCACGATGTCGTAAGCACTGAGTTAAATATGTAAGTTATATAATTTAAGACTTTCGGAAGCAATAATTTTAAACATTTGGGGTGTAACTCATCAAGGCCAATGGCGTTGGACTTCACTTTGAGAACTGCATCTAAGACATCACATTGACGTACACACATAAAACTAAAAGAAGTATCACAGTTTAATAACGAGGTTGAATTCAGGTACGTATTTTCAAGGGCTTCAGGTACTGCTAGTTGTACAAATTTGTTGTTTAGTTCATTCACGTCTACATCAATACATAAAGAAGGTCTACTTTTTCCGATCCCTAACTTATTAACTTCGGCCCAAACTTGTCTGGACGAGGTGACCGATGAAAATTTCAAGGAGAAGTGAGCACGCTTCGCATTCATAATTTTCAGCCAACTCTACGTCTCAGTTTCTTATATTGCGATAAGTGAGCCGTTGTCTTGTACCTTTTCCACTTTTTATATGCGTCGTCCCTGCATTTTATTGCACATTCGATATCCCTATTAAACCATTCATGTTTTACAGGCCTGATTACTTTGTGCCGCAGCGGCACAAAGGTATTGAACAGTAGCTCAACATTGTCATTAAACAGTTGGAGCTGCTCGTCTACAGTGGGTTTTAGGTAAATATCATTAAAATTCAAGTTATCACAGAAGTCAACAGTAGTCTATGGTCAATGTTCCTAAAGTCCCTATAACTAAATGAGTGGTCAGTGTGGTCCAGGAATATATCGTAAGTTATAAAAATCAAGTCATGTTTGGAAAAAGCTGGTACGGACAGCTGGTCAAATAGGAGAATTTTTTCAGTGTCATTTACAAAATGAGAAATGTGTAGGTACTGTAGAGTTTACTAGCTTCATGCCAAGAGACACCATATCGTCCTTTAAATGTCGTTCAAGAAGCATATTGCTATTGAAATCTCCAGCCAGGACAATATTGTTATGCTTCAGGGACACAGAGGAGAGAATGCTCAAGGAATCAGTGTAGTCAGTGTTTCTGTTTGGTCTATACACACATCCGACTAATAAGCTTTCCATATTTCTACTGTTTGATAATTGCAAAAACAAGTACTCAATATTGCTGTCTACTGGCTGTTTGCAAATCACATTAACTTTGACATTATTTTTAACATATATAGCTACACCCCCCGCATGCCCCACACGGTCTGAACGGTAAACTCTAAGCCCATCACAACATATATTATTATCATTAAGACAAGGCACAAACCAAGTTTCAGATACACAAACTACATCTACATCAGAATTAACAAACAAATACCTAAACTCATCCATTTTTTTACTAAGCTCTGCGCGTTAAGGTGGCATATGTGTATACCATTCTTTTGTTTACATAGAACCCGAATAATAGAATTACTGTTCGCTGTGGAAGCACATCTTAAGTTATCTTGCATTGAGTCCATAAAACAATCATACGCTCACGCATTATACAGCGATCAAGAGCACTAACAGATGATCTGCACACTACTAATACATTAACATTTACAAGAAAACAAATATTACAAAAACAATTTATCCAAAAACTAAACCTAAAACTTATATTAATATTAAAAGCTAACATATGTTTAGACCACAGAGTTAAAGGCAGTGGGAGAGCGAAATCCACTCTCATTATGGTGAGAGAGCTGTAAAAGCTCGTCCCTGCTTTGTATGGGCTGCGCACTCTCGTTCTCCCTAAGCTTCACGTGCACTATGCCTCTTTTTCATTAAAATTTTCAAATTTTATAATATCGGGATCAACATTTGCTACCTGATTATTCCGAACACGAAAAATTTCCCGTATCCTAGGCGGTGGTGTAGTGTCGATGGCGAAGCAGAGCGTGTTGTACAAAGTACGCACATTTTCCCCCTCCATGTGAGGGACGCCGTGTATGCGCAAGTCGCAGGCAGCATTGGCGTTGAGCTGCGTAGCGAGCTTCGCCTCCAGCACTCCAATCCGCTCCCTCAGCGTGGACAACACTCCGACCTCGCGCTCCATATTATCCACCCGCTCATGAAGCTGATCCACCCTAACATTTAGCTGCTTCATCTCTTCTGCCATGCGGTCGAAACGCTCCAGCAGCACGTTTAGGATGCGCTGCTCAGCATCTCCCATATTGGCAGTGATGAGGCTGGCCTGCTCCTCAAAACGCAGGTTTATTGTAGCCATTATCTTTGCCGAGATTCCCCCTCTGACTGGCGGCCCTCCTTAAGGTCAGTGACGGTGTTTTCTCGTGCGCGTTTGTTGCGCTGAGGTGCCATGTTGTTCAGTGTAAGTTTTCGTTTGTGTTTTATTGAGTGGTTTGTTGAGCACAGATGAGAGATTTTTTTTAGTGATTATTGAGCGTTACTACAATTAAGGTTATAGCTCAGTGTCTCGGTGTTGGTGTTGATCTTTGTGTTTGTATAGATTGGTTTTTCGCGCTTGAATGTACTTTTATTTAATTTGTGATTTTATTAAAGATTCCTTTAATTTATTTGACACCAGAAGTTTCTATGAAGAACGTTATTGTACTTCTCGCAATTATTTGCACTGTGTACGTACACAACTTAACAAATTAAACAATTTTTGGCGCAGCGATAGAAAAACACGTCCGTATGCAAGCACAGCTGATACTTTTTGATACTTCTATACGAATGGAAAATCGGGAAAACCCCCATAGGGGGAAGTGGGGGGAAAATCAAAAAAATAAAACAAACTCGTATATGTGTGTCACATAAGGCATCTTTGTGCAAAAATTTGGTGTCTCTATCTCTTATAGTCCCTGAGATCCAGGTGTTCATACGGACGGACAGACGCACAGACAGACAGACAGGGCTAGATCGACTCGTCTCGTCATGCTGATCAAGAATATATATACTTTGTGGGGTCTGCCACGCCTCCTTCTGTCTGTTACATTTTTCAGCTTCTGCAAACCTAATATACTTCTGTACATTTCATGTTTAGAGTATAAACAACAACAACTGCAAGGTTTTGGCTCGCGCTTCTTCTTTCGTTTTGATCATTTACGCCTGTTAATTTCAAAGGCAAAACGCCAAAAGTTTATAGTTACCGTCGCTAGGCAACGACTGCGTAAGCGATAGTAAAGCAGAAACCGAAAGCGGACCTACGCATATTCTGCTTCGCGTTGCAGGCAGATATACATATGTATGTTTGTATATGATTTGTTCTAATTGATCTCAATAAATTATAAGATATTATTTAAATTTTCTGTTAATTACATTCAAACTTCGATGGAGTTATTGATTGTAACGACGGATTCAACTATTGATAGTTTTGATGCTCTAGCACATTGAGCATCCGACACATGCCCATCTCTAGCATCTCAACTGATCGCATATTTACAGCGGCTTACCGTTTTAGTGTTAGCTAACAATGCTACAAATGTATTCTGGACAAATCTAAGAGTCATTTACCGTTAAGCTTATACGGGAGCGTATTGTATTCATACGATTTACAAAAGCAGAAGACACACATTTTACATTCACAACAATCATATTTGTAATTGAAGACACAAATTAGTATTGAATTAAAAAATTTAATACACTCTTATATATGTATGTATGTATGTACATATATAGGCGGATAACGCCTGCATGAAAAATTTAAATGTATGTACATATCAGCGTTGCCGAACGCTCCAAATTTGGCAGGACGTCCCGATTTATAAATCAAAATTAAATGTCCCGCGTCGGACTTTTCGGGGATAACTCGACCGTGCGTACAACGTGCTGAGGAAGCACACCGCCCGGTGCGTAACGAAGATATGTATTTACATATGTATGTATGTACGTATAACCATACATAGTACTTATTGTACTATATTGGCTATTTGGAAAATGAACTCTTTAAAAAACTTTAGAGGGCGTCGAAAGAAGAATATCATGTAGTAAATAAACTTATAATTATAAGCACATTTTACTTAGCCCAGCAAAGACGGGCAAGACCTGCTAGTATATACATATATATATTAAGTACTCCTACCTTTTAACAATAAGTTCGTTTTGCTGCGCATCTCTTCCTCCAATGATAAGATAGTTTTCGGAACTAATAAACCAATAAAACTTTTCAAACCAAAAGACCTTCCTTGCTTTGGTAATTGTAGATATGATGCGAACTTCTTTAAGTGTTTGTTGGGTCTTGCGCTCAGCTGATTTAAGAGCCTTTTGTGACGCATCAACAGTTTTTTGTTCTTTTTTGGCTGCAAAGCGCTTTTGATCATAATATTGGCGGGCATTTGCCCAAGCTGATAAAGCCAAATCAACATCTACAATGACTGAATTTTCTGAATTACCATTGTCGTTATCGTTTTTGTATGGATCGCAGAGACTTAAGGATATGTGGTTTTTTTTCAGGTCTAACTGTTTTATGCATTTGGCAACTTCATCACCATTAACTTGGGCCTCCTTAACAAGTTCATGTATATCTGTCCAAGAAATTTGATTAGCTATTGCCGACTGAACGGCTAAAATAGCTTTATCCACCAAAATCTGGTTGCATTGTATTAGCTCAGCCTTTTTTGTGTCCATATCTTGAATCTTGTTGAGTAACTCTAGGCGCTTGGCGTGATCTTTTTTAACATTGGACAGTTTTTTTAGTGCATCCCTTTCTTGTTGTAACGTTTTTAAGTCAATTTTTTGGAATTCTTGTGCTGAAAAGAACTCATCAACAGCTGCCATAAACGAATTGAACACTGCATGAGGCTGTGTCTGATGCTGTGCAAAAAGGTATGGATGAAACTCAATGTTTCTATAAAAATATTCCGCGTCTTTTGTTTCAGTATTCATAGGTTTTTCTTCACGAACTTGAATAATATACCCTTTGGTTTTTCCTTCATGCCCCATTTTTATAATATCACGTGATTCCTGTAAAGCATTTAGATGTGAACTTTATGTATAAATATATATGGATACAAATTTATTACTAACCTTAATTGCCTGCAACAGGTTTGTCAGATCAGTTTTTGCGTCAAAAGGTTTTGCTTCTACCGCAGTTCCAGAATTAATCCGCAGTTTGGGTTGTTTCGTTTTAGTATGTTCTAGCATCTGCGCTGTTTTCGCTGGTTTTGCTGTATAGCTTACAACATGATGGTTCAGCTCATGCGTTAAAAGAACGTGATCTATTACTGCCGGACCACAATCTAGGAGTGACATTAAGACTCTCTTTAAACTTTCCCCGGGTGCTGCATTATCAATAAGCTTTTGTACTGTATCCAAAGAGATATCGTCGATATCCTTCTTAGCACGATCGATTGGATATTTTTCATGTACGGCGAATCGATCACCTTCCGTGTGTGGCCTTAGAATGTACATAGTTTTCAAGTCTACGTCTGTTAATACAATGTTGCCACGGTCATACAGCTCTAGGAAAAGGTGATTGGCAACGTCGCCCCTCCCGAATTGAAAATCAACAATACGGTCATTTCCTAATTGTCGTATATATTCAATACGCTTATTCTTTAAATGCTTTCGCATTTTCATGCTAAATCCTCCAGGGGCTGCGTTTTTAGGCCATTCAAAATCGGTGGTATGAAACCTTACACCAGATTCAATTAAAAGCGTGGCTTTTTCGTTTTCTTTGCCGCCATGTAACCGTAATAGATAGGTTTTGTTGTCTATGTCATAAATTTGGTTTACGCGAAATCCAACTAACCTAGCAAGTTATATAAACAAAGAGAATTTTAGTACGTACATACACTTGCAGAAAATTTAATATATAATTATTTTTTTGTGAGAGTGGGTACGGTTATTAAACCCACTCGACTCTAGCATTCTATTTTTGTTTGCTTACAATCATATATTTATTTACTATACAAGTATGCTTTTTGTCTTTCGACATTCTGCCCAACTTCTGAACTGCAACTGACTCCTTTCTTCTGCTGACATCTATTTATACGGCTAACTACTGAGTGGTAGGGGATTCCAATACATCCCATCAGGACCACAACATTCTTACATTCGACCATTCTGATTTAATCAGCAGCCTCCGATGACCAAGGCTGCTGCTCGTTCTCAACGAACTTCCAAAGTTTAATGTTGTCTTCAATTGTGGCTGTATTTCTCGATCCCTCGATGTTTGCAATTTTGCGAACATCATATCGACCACTACCTTTGATCTTAGTTATTTCATATGGCCCAAGATATTGACTTGCCAGCTTCTTACCTGTTATGAATTGTGTGTTATCGCTATAAAGTTGGTGATTTGGTTTCCGAAATCACCAACTTTATAGCCATATTTTTCTTTGACCTTTGTCAAACTGCTTTTTGTAAGAAGCTTGAGCTCGACGTATATCTTCATTGGATTTTCCCGAATCTGCTGCCTTTCATCGTCAAACTTCTCATACATCCTCCCTTTCGAGTAACTCTTTGATACGGGCCTCAACTCCATAGTTCATGTTGACACCAAACAACAACTCGAACGGCAACCTCTTTAAGGAAATGTTTATTGCCTTCTGCACCACTGGCACGTATTTGTACCATTAAGTCGGCTCATCTGAGTTTCGAAATGATAGATAAAACCGAACGGTTGACGCGTTCTATCTGGCCATTGCCTCTTGGTACACCAGTAGTACTCCAAATGTACTCTGTGCCGTTCTCCTATCGTAGTCTATTGCCCATTCTGTAAGCTTTTTGACAACTTCATCGCAGCTTGTTATTTTGGTTGAATAAAGCTAGACAATTTTGGAAAATTCATCCACCAACGCACAAATGTATTTGTTGAACTTCACGGTGGCGTCATAGGCCCAAGATGATCGATGTGAAGTGTATACAACGGTACAACTCCTTTATCAATATGGTATAAGAAACCTTCCTTCTTTACGGTTTTCTTATTGTGTACTATACATTTTACGCAGTTGGCATTTACATTTGAAATCTTGCTTTCCAAATACGGGACCCAAAAATTTTGCTGAATGGCGTGCATCGTCTTCTGAACGCATTGACACGATGATGTAAATGTGTGCTGTTTAAACTGTACATGTACCGTCCGTCCGTCTGTCTGTATGAGCGAAACGATCTCAGCAAATACAATAGCTAGGATAACCAAACTTGGCATTCAGCCCTAAGCCCTAAGCAGAACGAGTTTGTGTTATTTTCTGATACACCCCCCACTCCCCCGCAATTCGTGTTTTTCCTAACTCCGGTAATTCTTGGAATTTTGAACTCAAATTTGGCTTATACATCCAGTTCGTAGTTATTTGTCCGTATGCCAAGTGCCATCATGATAGGTCAATTATGAAGAAAGTTATAGCCACACATAAATTGCTCCTCATGCACTGCCTGCAGCTCTGCCGGCACGTCTTCTAATTTAATTAATTCAATTTTTTTAAATAATATAATTTTTAAAAAAAATTGTTCTTTTTAAATTTTGTGTTTTTGTTTTTTGTGGAGAGTACAGGCTATTTTACTGTCGGGCTTGCTCGACTGTAGCGTTCTCTCATGTTTTTTTTGTGGAGAGTACAGGCTATTTGACTTTTGAGAATTTTACAAACGGCTTTAATCATTGTGTCATCCTGCTGTGTTTTTTCATGTGCGCTGAGAGCTCCGATGACACCAACATAACATGTTCTGGATATCGGCCTAACAAATCCACATGCTTCATTTGTTCGCCTGGGCAGTGCTCTACTTCAAAATCTTAGTCCTGTAAGTATACGACCCATTGTCCTACCTCTCGAGGCACATCCTTTGCAGTCAGCGTACTCTTAAAAGCCGAACAGTCGGTAATTATCTTAAATGGGATGCCCAGTATGTAGTATCGAAATTTTTTGCAAGAAAGACGCGCTTATGCTTCTGGCCTTCTTGCTCCGATAGAACATTGGGTGCAGTTGCCCTTCAAACCATTGTAAGAGTGCAGCCGCAAAGCCATCTTTGGAAGCATCCGTGTGTACCTCCGTTTTGGCTTCTCTGCTATAAATTGCTCTGCTATAAATTGCATAAATTGCATATAAATGGCATTTCTTCCATTTCAGTTAAAGGCCGAAGGATGCTGCTCTTTCAAAAAGTGTTTTCATCTTGGCCAAGCACTCATCTGCCTTTCCTCCAAGCATAATAATTTCGTCCATGTACAAATCAGGAACGTTTTTGCTCATTAGAGCTTGAAAAATTCTCCAAGTCCATGACTGTGTAGAACTTTGCCTTTTCCAATTTTTACAGAACATAGTCAATAACAGGGAAGCAATCTTTAAGCACCATTTTATTGACTGTGCGAAAATCCACACAAACACGATTCGTGCCATTCTTTTTTTTGACCACGATTATCCGACTTGCTAAATTCGACGTAGAGTGCCTTATAATTCCTGCATCCAACCACTTGTTGATCTGCTTGCTCACTGCTTCGCTTACAGCAACTCTGCTTGGTGCATGGTGAAAAGGTGCGATATCCTCATTGGGTATAATTGTGAGTGTTACGGGACACTCAGCAGCAGTTTCAGCCGGTTTATGGATCATATGTTGTACTACATTCTTGAACTGTGGGAGTACATCGGCATCAGTATTTGTTTCAATAATGTTATAAATACTTATTTGAATTCTGTTACAAGTTTTCTCCCCAGGGGGGTGATCCAGAGCTATAACCCGGCTGAAACTGCTGCTGAGTGTCCCGTAACACTCACAGTTTCCTCCCCCTGGGGAGAAAACTTGTAGCCGGCCGCCGTCGATGTAAAGTTGAACTTGCTGATGAAGTTATAGCCCAACAAAGCTTCACACTCCATCGCCTTGTCAGCTAACATTAGGAACTTCTGAGACACCTGCATAGCGTCCACCAAAACGTCTGCCATGAAGTATCCCATTCTACGAGTTACTTTGCTGCCCAAGCCTTGCAAAGTAGACATGCATTTCTGCAGCTCAGCGCCTTTTATTTTGTTAAAGGTCGACGTTTTCAGCAGTGTGACGTCAGCGCCCGTGTGAACCAGCCCGTTGAGTTTAACATTTACAATTTGCAGCGGCTTTAATCGATTAGCGTTGTACACCACTTTAATTTTTTTTTGATTTGGACATTCCTTCGACATGTTCCCATTTTGATTGCAGCGAAAACATTTTAAATCTGCTGTACAGTATTTGCGCAAGTGTTCTGTTGAGCCGCAAAAACAGTGATGCTTCTTTTTAATTTTCATTTCTGTTTGGTTTAAACACTTTTTTTTAAATATATCTTCTGTTTCTATTACACTTTCGTACATGACATACTTTTCTTTTAGCTCTTTATGCGATATTGATATTGGTACAAGTTGTATTTAAAATCCGCCTGCAAATTTAAGCTTCGCACTTCGTAGTTGATTACAGATTCGGTGTTGATCTCGCCCCGTGCAGCTCTACGTTTCATTTGAAGCATATACTCATGGAAACTCTCTTATTTTTGCTTTGATCGACCTGCCAATTGTTTGTGCATGTCTGCACTACAAACATATTTACAGTTGAACTCTTCAAAAAGTATCCGGCGTAGCTCTGCATACTCATAGACCGTAGTAGGGTCCAAAAACAACTAGGCTGTACATGCCATTTTGCCACGCATCTGAACATATTTCTGCTTGTTGCTTAGGCCGTAGGCATCTGCGATAAGCTCAAAGTTTTCGAGAGTCATCAACTCGATTAACTGATGCAAAACTTGCGTATTTTCGGATTTGTGATTTGCGCCCTCTATTACGGCGCTTAAGGTCGGAAAATCCTCTAGCTGAACCCTTCAAGACGGTGCCGACTTGTAATGGTACTACAATGGTCCCATACGTTGTCAACCTAACTCCTTAATAGTTAAGTTGGTGAGTAATGATCATGGCTACGAGGTGGGGGCCGGAAGATCAGCCTGGTTGGGGAACTCCGGGGAACATCCGGGCGACACCCCCGGTGGTGGTGCAGAGGACCAGCTACTCCAGACTCGATCCTTCAAAAGCCGGATACAGTAAAAGACGCTCTGCGGCCAGTATCCTTCGTCGACATGCCGCTGAACCGAGTACGGCAGAGCAGACATCAGCGGTGGATTTAAATAGAATCAAAGAGGACATTAAGTAGGCCAAGCCAGTGCTGCCCAATTTCACTTTGGAGTACGATGCTAGCGCCGGCAAGCGGCAGAGCTCCATGGAGGAGGTACAACAAACCGCCCCAAAAAGGCCCAAGGCTCAAGGAAAGTCTTGGCCCAGCTCGTTTGCGGAGGTAGCCAAGGATCGTAATATCCCCGGGGTCATCGGCCGAAATCCCGAAGAAGGCAGGATCCCTAGGAACCAATGGAGGTGGATCAGGGCCGAAATTGCAACAGTGCTTGAGGTTGAGGTGCTTAAGCAAAACCCAGGTACTTCACATCCACTTTTCTCATGAGCGCCAATTCATCCCATCAGGACCAGATACATTATTACATAAATATATATATTCTTAATCAGCATGATACGAGTCGATCTGTCTGGATGAACGCAAGGATCTAAAAAACTATAAAAGCTGGAATAACAAAAATTGGTTTCCAGATTCTCATAGGTTTGAGAAAGGACGAGTTTATTGGTTTTTTTTGTAAATTTTCCCCCCTTCCTACAGAATTTTGTCAATACTGTTCACATTTCCAAAGAGACATAAACAATAAACCAAACTTGCCAACGCAATCTATTTATAAATATATTATATAATTTTCTACTTTTGTTTTAAATTGATTTTAAGAATTTTAAAAAAAGTTATAAGCCAAACAATTTCACTCAAGTAGTACGCCGAGAAACTGCAGAATCAAGTTCGCTATAACTCGAAGTGTGACCGAAGTGTGCCTGGGTACAGAGTATTTAACTCTCGGGCTTGCTCGTCTGTAGCGTTCTCTCTTGTTTAATTTTCTTAATTTCTATAATTATTCTACACATATGTACAGAGTATTTCAAATTCGGGAAACCCGACATAAACCAAACTTTGCCCACGTAATCTACATACATACATACAAGGTGCGTTCCAAATGACTTTTTGAATCTAGCGCCCCCTGGTGGCGCTATCTATATGTCGACTGGTGCGTTAGAATCTGTTTTAAAAATTAAATCAAATTAAATTTTGTTTTAAAATTGGTAAAACTTTTACCGAAACGTTTCAACTGATGGAACAAGCTTATGGCGATGATTGCCTATTCCGTAGCAGAGTGCACGAGTGGTTTCAACGTTTTCAAAGTGGTCGTGAGGACATAAATTACGATGAACATGTGGGCCAATCAAAATTCGTGATCACCGAAAATTCCATCGAAACTGTGCGTGAATTCATCAAAAATCAGCCGAAATCATCATTGAAATTGATGGAAATGGAATTGAACATCTCCAAAACATCGATTTATCGCATTTTGACCGAACATTTGGGCTAACGAAAGGTGTGTGCACAGTTTATTCCGCAAAAATTGACTGACGACCAAAAATTGCTCAGAATCCAACATTCGAAGGACATCATTAAAGAGGTCAAAAAGGACAACAAATTCCTTTACAATATTGTGACTGGTGACGAAACGTGGTGTTTCCAATATGATCCCGAAACGAAACGCCAGAATGCTGAATGGAAGGCACCGGCCGAGCCGAAACCTAAAATCATGCATGGAGAAGTCTACAGTGAAGACAATGCTGATTTGTTTTTATGATTCCAAGGGTATTGTCCACAAAGAATTTGTTCCACCCGTCCAAAACGTTAGTGCGGTATTCTACTTTGGAGTTTTGAAGCGTTTGGTGCGCCGTATTCGACGTGTTCGGCCCGAATATCGCGAAGATGAAAGTTGGCGTTTGTTGCACGATAATGCGCCGTCTCATCGATCGACGCTTGTGACCGATTATTTGACCAAAAATCACATTTTAACCATTATCCACTCGCCGTATTCACCTGATATGGCACCGTGCGACTTCTACCTTTTCGGTTCTTATTAGAGTCTAACATAGACAATTCTCACGTCATCACAGACTGCCGGAGATCTCTTAACGAAATGGCCCAGCACGTCTGTACAAACCTCGTATGGGTACCGGGGCACCGGAATATAGAGGGGAACTGCATTGCAGACGAACTGCACCAAAGCAAAGTTGACATGGCCAGCCCTGGACGCAAAAAGAACTGCTTAACTCCTAAAATATAGAAGAACGGAAGGCTCAGTGATACTGGGGGCACTTACTTGACACTGTCCGATTGGTCGTCATGCCGCCAAGCTTGACAACCCACATAATATAATATAACATATAATAACTTCTGCAGAAGCTGCAGAGACGTAGAAGAGGAGTAAAGCACAGAACACCTTCTGTGCCACTGCTCCGCCTTAACCAGACGAAGATTAGCTACACTAGGGCTTCCATTTCTTAGCAATCTTGCAGAATGTGGGCGGGTGTGTACGTTAAATTTTTTTTTTTTTTTGCTTTCTTTGCATACACGATGATTATAAATGCTGTACAATATACATATGTATGCCATCGCAACAAAACAAATGAAACTGGGATAAACCTGAAATGCTTTTTTTGGTTTTATTATTGAGGGCTGCCTTTACGAGAGAACTAGTCAAATTTTTTTTTTTTTTATACAACTTACACTAACGATGTCGCACACGACAAAATGTACCAATAGCGATTATTTTCCGGCAACTTTTTTAAAATATTATTTGCAATAAAAAACTGTGTGTGTAGTAGAGATGGGCACGGGCCGGCTATTTTCGGCCCGACACGACACGGCCACGAAATTAACTTTTAGAAACACGCACGCGCACGCACGACGAAAATTTTTCTTAACACGGCCCAACACGAACTTTTTATATATTAAATATAAAAATTAAAAAAAAAAAAATATATATATATATATATACATATGTATATAAACATTACAAATTTTTATTCAGAAAGATTATCTTATCAATATTTGAGCTAAGAAGCCGAGTACGTCGCTCATTTAAAATATGTCCAGAAGTGGAAAAAACTCGTTCGCTTGTTGCAGAGCTGACAGGGATATTGAGTATATGCCTTGATAATTGCCTTAGCATTTTAAATTTTGTTGCTTTTTTCCAGAATGTTAGCACACAAATTCCTGGATCAACAACACTACTTATATAGTCATCTATTTTAATATCCATTCTTGACCTGTCCAATTTAATTTTATTTTTTGAATTATTAGTGTCCAAAAATTCAGAAAAGTCGTGTTGACTATTGGGTGCTTCGTTTTCTGATTCAAGTGTTAAATCGTTATTTAAGCTATCATTTATTTCAGCTAGCATCGATTTTAGTGTTATTTCGTGTTTCCTCGTGCGTGTTTTGTCGTGCCTTTTTGGCTCAACACGAACACGCACGGCCACGCACGAAATCGGAATTTACAACACGAACACGCGGGCCCACGCGTTGCACGAAGTGCCACGACAAAAAACACGGTCCGTGCCCAACTCTAGTGTGTAGCTAATATTTGATGCTCCTTGTGCAAATACCTTCTACGCCCTGATAACAAATGTACAATTTGTTGGCTTCGGGTGAAATTTATGTGAAAATGCCCATATCTCCCACATCTCTTTTCGTTTAAAAGTTACACTCATTTAACAAGCAAGGAATGCTAAAGTCGAGCGAGAATCAGAGATCAGAACAAAAACAAACTCGATCTGCCTAGGGCTTAGGGGAACCTGAATGCCAAGTTTGGTTATCCTAGCTATTGTACTTGCTGAGATCATTGCGCTCATACAGACAGACAGACGGACGAACGGATATGGCTATATCGACTCGACTTGTCATCCTGATCAATAATATATTTATGGAGTGTGCTCTAATCAATTCAGTGCAATGTGGGACCATAAATAACAAAATTTCAATATTATTTACAAATTTTGTTGATTTAACTAAACGATAAGTTATTTTTAATGGTTGGTAAAGCCGTTTATTACTTGTTTTGTCGCTGAAGTGTTTTAAAAACAAATTAATTTATAGAAAGGCAAGCTTTTTTAAACAAAACAAGATAGAACGCTACAGTCGAGCAAGCCCGACAGTAAAATAGCCTGTACTCTCCACAAAAAGGAAAAATTCCGAGAATTACGGAAGTTATAAGAAAAAACACGAATTGCGGGGGAGTGGAGGGGTGTATCAGAAAAATAAACAAACTCGATCTGCCTAGGGCTTATAGGAACCTTGATACCAATTTTGGTTATCCTAGCTCTTGTACTTACTGAGATCCTTGCGCTCATACAGACAGACAGACAGACGGGCATGGCTATATCGACTCGTCTTCTCATCCTGATCAAGAATATATATACTTTGTGGGGTCTGCCACGCCTCCTTCTGTGTGTTACATACATGCGCACAAAACTAGTATAGCCTTTCATCCTTTGAGTACAGGCTATAAAAAATGTTCTCACACCTCCAGCTGTGTATGTAAAACTTGAATTTATTACACTCGTTTGCACATAGTGATGATGTATGTATGTATATTGTATGTATGCATGTACATATGTACATATATTATCGAACTACCATAATTGTACACATTTGTGCACGTATACAAATATAAATAACAGCTTCACTTTTTGGTAATGATGCTATTTAAAACCGCAAATGCATTTACCTACTAACTACGCGAACATTGTTCGGGAACATTAAAAATTGATATGGACGAAAATACGGTTTACCAACATATGCTTTATTGCGCAATATTTTGTTCCGTAAGCTTCAGTCTCATTTTTCCCCATTATTATTATTGGAGCATAAATTATTTGCTCATTAGCACGTGTTTACTTCACAAATGATGTTTGTGCCAACAATGCCATCCATCCGAACACTCACATTTAACCCGAACACCGGGAAACAAATTCGAATTGAATGGGCTGCTTAAAACCAAAATTTTATGATTGTGTTGTGTGAATCTCAGCGTTGGTCTTAGTCCATTGCTCGATACAATATTACTATACATACGTGTACCCTATACGTTTACGTATACCCTTTTTACCCTCCGGGAAAAAATTTACCATACCATTTATTGCACTCTTTGGCATAGCTTTCTGCAAATGAGCACAATCTCGGAAGAGAAATCTCATATAGTAAATAAATATTATTTTAAGAACACATACATACTTAGCCCAGTAAGGACGGGCAAAACCTGTTAGCCAGTTATAATAAAATTCCATTAGCAAATATTACCGTTGTAATTCTGCCACCCCACAAACGATATCATATGTGTTGAACCGAGTTTTCATGATAGCTACACTTTCGCGAATCTTATTTATAGAATATTGAGTGTGGAACTGAAATTTTTAATCTAGAGCTAGGGATGCGTATTGATATGGCGATGTCGATATAATATCGCTATTAAGAAAAAAAACTTCAGTAAAACGGATATGATATTCAAAGCCAAATACATGTAATGTATCGATATGTAATACGATATATCGGAAAATATATATTTCCTGTGTGAAATGCAAAATTTATTAATTATACCAAATATGACTGAATGACCTTATAAGTGTGTCGGATCAAGCTTTTTTTCTTTGGTCAACACGAACTAGCTCATCGTATCCTCTTTGGGTGTGGTCCTATCCCTATGCCAGTGTAAGCCGCATAATAACCGATAGCTCGGTTTCCTCCATAAATTATGTCCATCACTAAAATAAATTTACTACGCAATAACACTAGTGCTGCCAACATTTTTACAGAAAAACAAGAGAGAAGGCTCAATCGAGCAAGACCGACAGTAAAATAGCCTGTACTCTCCACAATAAAAGGAAAATTAAAAAAAAATTGAATTAATTAATGAAATTAATAAGGAACATTTATTTAATACATACACAGAGGACATGTTTATGTACAGTTTAAACGGCATATATTTACATCATCGGGTCTATGTCTATGCGTGTTTATATGCGTGTATGTATGCAGCACAAAGTTGAACCAAAGCAGCAACAACAACTACAGCTGCGGGCAGAACTCCAGGCAGCGCATGGGCAGCGATTTTATTTATAGCTATAACTTTCTTCAGAACTGACCTATCTTGATGAAACTTGGCACACGGACACATAAGCACTATCTACTACTACTGCCAAAATTCATTTCAAAATTCCAATAATTACGGAAGTTATAAAAAAAACACGAATTGCGGGGGAGTGGGGGTGTGTATCAGAGAACTGCAACGAGTATGTTCGACCACCCTTGCTGAAAATTCAATCAAATCAGATCTTTGATTGGTTGCAAACGAGCACGAACGAGTTGAGTACTCTCAGCATTTTTGTTATGATCGAACTTGCATGAGCAATCTTTCCACTTTTACGAACAAGCACCTGTCCTGATTGGTTTGCTTTCGAGTACACCAGACTCGGTCACTTTGCTTATTGCGGTCGGTTCGAACGAGTACCGGCCTTGACTGGTTTGCTTTCGAACAGTTCAGGCTCGGTCATTTCGAGTATTCTGTTCGTTGCGAACGGGTACCAGCCTTGAGTGGTTTGCTTTCAAACACTTCAGGCAGGGTCACTTCGTTTAATATGACTGGGTCCTGATCGAAGCAAACCAGACTTTGCAGAATGAGCGTTTGTTCGAACGAGTATAGTGCCGTTATTTGCCGAGTATTGTTTGGGTATTGCGCGAGCTTACTCGGGTAATACTCGAGTATTCCGCGGGTTTTACCCGAGTATGACCGTATGAAATATGCATGTATGTACATATTTATGTATTTGTGCGTGCATGTGTTGTTTGCAATTATGCGCAAACATGTGTATATGTATGTATTTTAAATAAAGAGGTACAGAATGAAAAGAAAACATGTGTATACATATATTTATTTTTATATTATGATATTTAGCATGATTTTATTTCTTAAAAAAGGACCTCAAATATCTTAAAATAAACAAATTAATATAAATTAAAATAGCATAACTTTTTTTAATTTAAATAAAAATGAAGGTATTTCTTTTCGCTAATAGTTATGTTGGCTTCTTTAATTTATATGCATTTACATACTTGTATACGAAGTTATTATTGAACTAATAGCCGAGAAAACAATAGAAAATGCAAGCGCACGGCACCCGCCGATATCATTGGTCATTTCGGTCATGCGGGCATGATTGTAAATACGACGTTCGATCATTTCTTGCATGCAAGCAAAAAGTTTCGGTCACCGCCGCTCATTCTGAGTCTTTGCAGTTGTGAGTCGAAGTGACTGGTTGGTGGAGGGTTCGTTTACTTGTAAAACCAATCATTGCTTGCATTCATGCAAGAAGTTTCGGTCACAACCGCTCACTTCTGAGTTTTTGCAGTCTTTACAGGCTATAATAATATTGACGCGTTTTGTTTTCTGTTCTCATATGCACCGTCCAAAACGACCAATCTGCGCTATTGCTCTATACTAAGCAAAAATTAGGCACAGCGCTGCTTCTTGCTTCGGTAGCTTCACAAAACCAATTTTCTTTTTCCCCTAAAACGAGCTCATAGAACGTCTGTGTTTCTTTGTAAGTGAGCCAAACATCTAGGCATTTTTTTTTATTCTTTCATCATAAAAGCATTTGCACTTTTACAAATCAAGCGCATTTTTGAGTTAAACATGGCTTAAACTAGTGATGTCATGTGTTGTATTACCACAAGTGAGCGCCATTACTGTCACAGGCGAGCGGCATTATATACAAAAAGTCACTCTTTTATAGCCTGTACCCAAAGAGTACAGTAAATTTAGTAGTCACATCCATTAGTGATTTTGTGTCCATATGCCAAGTTTTAATGTGATAGGTCAATTATGAAAAAAGTTATAGCCATAAATATAATCTCTGCCCCAGCTCTGCCAGCAGCTGTCGTTGTTATTGCTGCAGCTTTGACATAATTATGTACTGCATACAAACATATGTACAAGTACACAAACACGCATAGACACGATTATGATGTAAATGTGTGCTGTTGAAATTGTACATAAGCACTTACATATGTATGTATGGATGTTGAATATTTTATACAAGTATTTCATTTAATTAATTAAATATTTTTGATTAAGTTTTTTTTTTGTGTGGTGGTATTTAAGGGTTGAGCCCGCTCGACTTTAGCATTCCTTTCTTGTTGTTGTATAAAAAGAGCTCACTAAACCATAGTCATTCACCCCACATAGACAAATATTGATACAAAACAAGTAAAAAAGGTAAAATCGGGTGTCCCGACTTTGAAATACTGTGTACATATGTTTAGAATAATTATAGAAATTAAAAAAAATAAAAGAAAAAAAATTGTTGATCGATTTTAATTTTTTTGGTATTCGAACTCACGTACAGGGAGTATAATTGCACATATACAAAGCAATTGCGTCTACGTGAGTGCATGTATGTTTATGCTCGTATATTCGTGTCTGTGTAACCATGTTGGCAGCCTACAAAGCACCAGCATCAACAACAGCTGCGGGCAGCGCTTGTGCAGCGCTGCGGCAGCAAATATATTTATGGCTATAACTTCTTGTTAAATCGGTCTATCATGATGAAACTTGGCGGACATATAATTACTAACTGGGGGTATTTGTAAAAATTGAGTTCAAAATTCCAAGAATTACGGAATTAGAGAAAATCACGATTTGCATGGGAGAGAGAGGAGGGAAGGAAATTCCAAAATACACATTTTCTGCGTATTCACATAAGGCATCTGGGACTAAAATTTGGTGTCCGTAGGTCTTATAGTCTCCGATATATAGGCGATTATACGAATGGAAAATCGGGAAAACCCCCATATATAAATCAAAAAAATAAAACAAACTTGTTCAGCGTACACACAATACGCATCTTTGTGCAAAATTTGGTGTCTCTACCTCTTAAAGTACCTCTTATAGTCTCTGAGATCCAGGTGTTCATACGGACAGACAGACAGGGATAGATCGACTCGTCTCGTCATGATGATCAAGAATATATATACTTTGTGGGGCCTGCCACGCGTCCTTCTGCCTGTTACATTTTCAGCTCCCGCAAACCTTATATACTCTTGTACATTTTATGTACATATTAATACTTTATGTAATGTACATTCCCTCAACTATTTTGCTAAGGCGATAAGTTACACCACCCCTGCAAATCCATTCCAATTGCCGAGTGGAATGGAATTCATTCTGGCAACTGCAACAAATACAATGGTAGCAATACAACAAACGATTCAGGATCTTATGCGTATTCAAAATCTCCTCCTGGAGTTTCTAATCAAACAGGAATCTACATTCCGTCCACGCATCGTATCATTACCCATTTCGATCATTTCCTGCAACTTATCTACAGGCCACATCACTTCATATCGAAACTTAAAGCGGTTACCTAAACCTAGCCGCAGTATACTGCCCACCGCGCTCCTCCATTTCTGAAGCAGAATTTGTAAAGTTCTTTGATCTATAGTGACCGCTTTATAGTAGCTGGTGACTACAATGCCTAACACATCCATAGGGGATCCCGACTCATCAACCCGAAACGAAGACAACTATATAATGGCCCACAGATCTAAAGAAGAAACCCGATTTGATTGATTTTGCTGTTACAAGAAAAGTGCCACAGGCTCGGATTCGTGTGAAGCACTTAACAGATCTATCATCGAAACATTTACTATAAACATTTACTATAAATTACATTTACTATAAAGATGACATACTTGTAGATACCTCAGTTGAAGAATTAGTGTCTGTAATGTCAAAGCAAAAAAAAAGCAATTAATCTATGAAGAAATAATCCACAGATCTCAATCAAAGATACTGAGAATTATCACTGGGTCACCATGGTATATACGAAATGAAAATATTTATAAAAACTTGAACGTAGGATTTGTTAAGGATGAATTTGCAAAGGTGAAAGCAAAGCTTGAAAACAGTGCAGAACTGTTGCAGATCACTTCATGAGATGGCTGCAGAGTTCTCAGTCTACCTCAGTTGGGTCCGCCAGATTGAGGCTTCAATACAACGCCTTTTGTCGTAGCTGTAGAGATGAGGAAGAGGAGGAAACAGTGACCCACCTCTTTTGCGACTCCCCGGCCTTACTAAGAACCTGGCAGTGATTCTTAGGTGCCAATTTCCTACAAAATATTTCGAAATCCACCCACGCGTCTTGATGGAAACCATGGGAGTGCGGGACTGTGGAACAGTCCAAGCGGTAACACAACGAGTTACACAGTATACAAATTGTGATCGATTACACCCCCTTCGGGAATCAAACTCACGTAAATGGTGTGAGACTGCATTTTACTGCGGGAGTGTATCTATGTAGGTCTATACGTGGCTGTACGTACAAAGCACCAACAGCTACGAGCAGAACTTGGGCAGAGATACAGCTCGGCTTCAA